AGAATAACTTTTTTTCAAAATCGTAAACTACTTATTTTTCTAAGCCATATTGCCAAAATGCGCAAGCACAAAAAAAAAATTCTCTGATTGCCACTGCTGTTCGGTGATTCCATCCACGCTTGAAAAGGTGCTTGCAGATCTGCGTGGGACTAGATCAGCGGGGAAACCCAAGGGAAATTCATATGTCTGTCAACAACACATTTAAATTTCCAATCAAGTTCAGGTTATGCATGCGCAAAACGAAACGAGTTTGTTTTTGCATCTGCAGTTATCGTTTCTGTATTAGTTAACGAATTTTCCGTTCTGAGCATATATATAGAGCAGTCATTGCGTTTGCACCTGACGTTGATAATTTGGTGTAGTCCTTTAAATGCACTAGTTTTATATAATCCGACTCTCTGTATACGAGGTGCTTTGAAATAAATGGAAGTGCAATACGATGGTTAGCAAATGCATTAGTGCTCTGATAGAAAAGTAGAACCAGCTTTTTCGCCTCACTGCCCTAACACATTGTTATGCTCAAAGCATCGTCACGATGACTTCAATGCTGAGGTCATAAAAAAGACAAAGTGAAACATTGATGAACCTCCACAGTCTACTTTCTACAGGAGTGCCGCCATAGTTCTCAAACTTTAATTTTCATGTACGTTAGCAATTGTATAACATGCATTGCTTTTTCTACTTACAATTAGACATTCGTACTCGACTGACGCGGAATTTTTTGATTTATCACACCAGCGTAATTTTACGACAGCACAGCAAATGTGTTTGTTGACGTCTGTTTGAAACGTACATAGAAAAAGATTGAACGCTGTTTCTTTACGCATGCTAAGATCATGTTTGTATTATAATATTACGTGCTGCGAGAACTTGTCTGTTTTCAGTTTTTGAGCCCATACCCAGGTCAAAATTACTGGCATTCTTTAGAGCGGAATTTTTCCCTCTTTTCATAGGTTGTGTCCGCATTTCTTCAAAGTGTTGACATAATCCTTAGAGCTTACAACCCTTCGTTTTCCTCTTGTTTAACTTCTGCAATTCTTGGGTTTTCGCTTGAAACTTTTGAGATCTTTAATAAAACGCAGATAAGGCATAACTTTTGAATTGAAAGCAATTTATCGTCAGCCAGTGTGTAAACTTACTTGGAAGAATATTATTGGAAAAACCAAAAGCTCTGAGCTTTGTAAAAATCGCATAACATAAACTTACACTAAACACAAAATCTTCAGAATGTTCGGAACTAATGCAATCTTTGAGTTTAGAAGCAAATGACCGATTTTCGTTACAAAAAGCAGAAGTCTTGAGATTGAGGGATACAGCAGTGCGCCCCTGTAAAGTTCAGAAATCTGCAATATTGCTTGCGAATTTTGTATGCATCGCGAAGAAAAAATAGCTTTGCAAAAGGAGAAACTTTACAACGATCCGTACTTGAATTGCTTAGCGTTTCATGTTTGAAATAGATCGAACACAAAACTTGTTCACTTTGGGATAAATTGGAAATTTGGAGAATCAAACCACCACGTTATAGCGTTATAGTCGTGCTCACCTAACTAGACGTGGTCAAAATCGGATTTGAACTAGCACAACTGCGGTAGAAAGCAGCACCCGAAGCCCTCAATTTGAGCTTACGCATGTAAGTCCTGTTTTATTTTCAGTCGTTGCATGCTTTCTGTTTTTGACAATTTCATGATTAGAGTTTGCGACTAAAGTGTTTCTTCATACTAGGCCGCAGGACGCGGCAGCCTGCCTCGTGCGCTGCGTATGCCGCAACGTACGCCGCTGCAGTTGCAGTGCAAATACGCCCATGGCAGCAGAGTTTTGCTGTTTATCGATGTAATTCTAGATCTATTGCACCTTCGTGTTCTTCGAGAGTATTTCTTTGAAGTTTGCGATCTTTTGTCCTTTCTCAAAACCCTTTCATCGAGCGATGTATTTGTATTCAAAATGAATGAAAGAACATTCGATCAACGATGAGACAAGTCAAAAGAGAAAAAAGGTTGCACACTCTGAGAGAATACTTTCGGAGAACACGAACGAGCAGCAGATATGGAGATACATTGATACGCAGCATGTGCTGCCATAAGAGTGTACTCACTGCGACTGTAGCGGCGCAGTGAGTACACTCTTAGTGGAGTAGATCAAGGAACCCGAAGGCTGACAAAGGCGCAGAAACAGCATTAGCTGAGCGGTCGCAAACGCGGCGCTGCCTATCTTCACCGTTGTAAATCCTGCGCCTCATGGGCCTTGCGGCTAATAAAGCCGCGTCCCCCCCCCCCCTTCGTCATGCAGTAGCCTATACGTTGCTGAGCGATAGTACATGCAGCTACGCTCGTTTCTTCGACTTTAACTTCACTCGTAAATTCTTGTTTGGTAAGTAATACATACCGAAGTGTTGATTAGTAAGATTCATGTTATAGCAAGATTTATGCCACAAAATCCCTTTCTCCAAACTTCAACAATCATAGTCAAAGAAACGAGCACAGCAAACAGTAACAATTTGATACACTGCACAGCAAAGATAATCGAGTAAGAATGCCGTCAAAACACGAAAGATAGCATGAAACGACGAAAAAGATCAAGGATACATGAGTGAGCTCGAACTGACAAGGACTGAAGGTGCCGCGCGCAATCTCTGCATGCTCTACCTCAAATTTAAATTCGACCACCGAGTGTCTCGTGAGGTGAACGATCATAAGTGTTAAATAAAAACTTTGAAATTCAGCAAAAGTTAGACATGGTACGGTTGTATGTTAAGAGGCGCGAATCTTATTGCCAGCTGGATACCATATAGCACATAATAAATGTTTTGCAAGTTTCTAAAAGTATATGAAATTTAAAAAAGATAAATTAGATAGTTGCATGGGCTGCTCGGTCTTAATAATCTGGAAAAGAAACTAAAACAGCAATTTTGAAGGCCAAAAACCCATGAAAATGCATTTCAGACCAAATTCGTAAATATTTCACTCCGATTACAGCATAAACCATGAAACTCAGCAAATGGTGACCTCAGACAGTTAACAAGCTAATGTACTTTATCTGATACTTTCTGAACACTCGCATAACAATGAACTGCACTTTTGAGTTGGTGACAGCCGGAGAAATCGCACTTCTTGACCGTTTCTCGCATGGTAGGAAGGCTTGTCTTTGGCGATTATCTCAACTCTTGTTGGATGATTCACACAAGCAACGTAATGCTGTAGAAAAGAAAAAATTCTTGCATTTCATGTTTATTGAAGTATCTATTTATATTTGCTGGATTTGCGGGTGGGTTAGAAATTGACAAGACTTTTGCAATTATCTGATATCCGCTTACAAGTATCACATACATACCTTCGTGTTCTTATTAGTAGATATTTTTTGTGCTCTGCAACAGTCTATTATCGGGATGACATATGAACGTCACATCTACAAGAAATTTTACATAAGTCAAATATAACAAAAAAAAACATAAACGCATATATATATATATATATATATATATATATATATATATATATATATATATATATATATATATATATATATATATATATATATATATATATATATATATATATATATATATATATATATATATATATATATATATATATATATATATATATATATATATATATATATAATTGAAGTGACTAATTTTGCACAAGTCTCACTTTTCAATGACATTGGTGATCGGAGCTCAATAAAATCGACATAATAATTGGATTGAAATTTCCCCGTTGTAGGTGGTAGTGGGAAGAGTAAAGATTACCACATGGAGAAGAGCTCTATTTTAAGAGTTCGAAAATTATGTAGATCTGCCGTAATCGAGTAAATCGAGAATCTCGCAATCAGTGCAGTGTATTAGTGTTGATGTACATCGTATAGTATCTCAAACAAATTTTTATTTTGGGCGTTATGGTCTGTAATTAGCGCCGCTGTCCGATCTTTGCAATAGTGCGTACCCATAGCATTATGATCTTGTCTGTTTACTCTTCAATCACAGATTTCTAAACAATTTCGTGACCAGAGCATAAAATAACCCGACATCAGCACATACTCTTCTCTGGTAACATGGAAAGAACATAGGATCCAAGGCCCTCTTTGCGAAACTAATTTCTTGAAAAAAGGGTGGCTAAGGAGTGAGTTGTCAGAAGTCATGTGGCTATTTCCAACCAGCTTTTGCAACATAGAAAGTTAGCTCCAATTTTTTTCATCTGCCAAAAACCTCCGTAAGCCACTTTTTCGCTAAGAAATCGTTAGTGTAAGTCATTTGAACATACATCAAATATTATATTCATATTCAGCTTAATGTTACGGAAAAAATGCCACTATGTTGCTCAGTGTAGCCGGTGCTCATGTTGAGAGCCAGAGTTTATGTGCATGATTTTGCAGTTCATGCGCAATTTTTGGCAGTAAATTTCCTCGTAACTTTGTCCAAAAAGTTGTTTAGCGGATACAAAGGACAGATCTAGAGGTCTCTACTCTGCATCTAAGGTATGCAGCTTGTTTGAACTAGGCAGACTTTTTATGACAATCACCAGGTAAACAAGACCAATTGTTTTCTTGCACGTGCGAAGCACGTGCTTTGAGTTTTTGGAGACCAGTGCTTTACGATTTAAGTGAAAGCAAACTACCATACCAGTTGTAACACTTTGGAGTCCTATGAAAGTTTTCAAGGTCATAACTTTAGGGCTTGGAGGAATTCGATGACGTGATGGTAGTGTATTGGCCTAATCTTGTCTTTGTCATATCCACCGTTATTAGTCTACCATTATATATATTGATTTTAACAGCTATAATATGGAGGTCAAAGCTTAGCGCATTCCATATGCTTATGCTGTCCCAGGTAAAGTACACGCTTTGGCGTGCGACATCCAAATGAAATTCGGAATAGCTTATTTGCATTTTTTGTCATTCTCAAACTGTATGTGACTTGTGTGGAATTTTTCAAAAGTTGCAAGTTTCTATATTGCATTTAAGACAAATTTTCAAAAATCCTATATGTGAAGACTTCCTTTTAGGGTGTGGCCGACATTACATCATCGCTCAATTTCATCTTAAACGGCGTTTTGCGCAAAGCTGATTTATTCACCGAATTCTATTGGACAAATCGTTCCTTTTTGGCTAACTTCAGTTTTGTAGCTTCTTATTACACGCTCTATCTCAGATGCCTTGGCATCTCGTTAATATCGTTGCAAAGATTTATGTCTGTCTGTCACTATCAAACAAAAATTGAGAAGGTAATTTTTTTTGCTGTTTGTCGCGTTCATGTGCTTACATTAATGGGAAAATATTTCTTGAATGAAATCTCTAATTCAAGAAATTGTGCTTACAGCTGATTTCAAGAGCTCCGTTTGCTGCATTCTTGGCGCTTCATTGGTTTCCGCCCGTTGTTATGATAGCACCATTGTTGACAACATTCAATGCTACATTCGAATATACAAATGGGACAGATGAGACTTTGGCGTTATATGTTCCACAGGCTAATCTAGCGGTAATTGTTTTCAAGCATCTCTATTTATAACCAATAGAGCAGCTGTTATGCTTATAACGTGACTGTCAGTTATAAAATATAACTAATTGCTATGTGCGCTATATATTTACTTTTGCTTGAACGAGATTCATACACAAAGCTTTTCACAAAGAATTAAATACTACCGTAGCACCGTGCAGAGTGTAAAGTAGGTGCGACTCATAATTGCTAGTCAGAGCAATAACAACTTTTTGTGCTAAAGATGAAACTTATAGGAAATCATCGTTTTCATGTGCATCGATCGCAAAAGTGGACCTTTGTTCGCGTTAAACTGCTTTGCTTTAATTACTGTTTTTATGAAGGCCAAAGCGGTTTGATTTAAATAAAATCTTGACATGGACAAAAGGCTGCTGAAGGTTCATAGCCTCTTTTCTCAAGAATTTCAAGCAGCGTTTGGTTCGAAGCAGAGCACACGATCAAATCACAACATCAGGTTGCATAATCTGTCCATCAAACAGGCCGGAAGACTGCATGTGCTTTAAAGTGATTTATTTTATAATTTGCAAGCTATGTAGGGAGGATTACGTTGGCACAACAGACAGGCGGTTATGCGTAAGGATAAAGAAACACGTGGATGGACTGGGCAAAGCCAAGTTATCCACTTCTCTGGGCATGCATCAAAATTGCGCCAAGGGAATGCAGAAACTGAGATCTCTGCGTCAATATCGTCCCTAAAATCTGAAGAACAGCTCGGAAATTTAGAAGCGCGCAGGATTTTCACAAAAAATAAATGTATTCAACTTGTTGCTTTTTAACCTACAATTATAGAGCGTTTGGGATGACAAATTTTGTTTCTCACTTCCAGACTCTGACGAAGGAGGACAAGCCGAAACGTTAGCCGGACAACGTTGTAAATGAATTTGGTCCGGCTTAGTCAGTCGAAAAAATTCAAACGTCAGATAGATGCACAAATTCATTGTTGCAGTGACATATATTAAAACAAAATTCGTTAACCGAAATTTTTTTGCTTCTTTTTCGTCCGCTATGATGTACATGTTTTTATTAGCTTCTAACCACGTTGACGCGCCATGTTTCAATTAATCCAGCGATGCTGACTTGGAACGCAACAGCTTGGAAGTGCCTCAAAAGTGTGTACAGACGTTAAATCCTAGCTTCCACTTACATTACGTAGTTTAAGTTTCAGCAGCTTGTGAGCTAATAAAAAAACCACTTTTGGCTTTTCCAAATTTTTTGAAGCTCGAGAATGTTGCTTACATCACACTCTAAAAAAGCTCGTTACAACCAAAATGCGCAAAATTCCTTTACGCCTGTTTTCACTTTAACGGAATCCTCCTATTTTCCGTATTTACTGAAGTTGCTAAGCTAGAAGTTTCTATCATAGCACTGTGATGAAAAGTTTAACTGTGAACTAACGAGGAAGGTACTTTCAATCGCAGTGGCCTTTTTATGAGATGCATATCATCAGAGCTTCGAACGCTGATTCTAAACCTGCCTTCCTTTTCTGCGGAGCGCTCTTATGAAGAGAGTTATGGAAGCCCGAAAACCCTATTTTAGAGGCGCTCCTTGAGTTTGAGGATGCTGCTAACCTTTGATTCAACTGGCTATGCACCATTAGGGCGGGGTTTTGTGATCTAATTGAGGCCGCTCGCGCCCGCGACGCACCTGCGTCTCTCTCGCGCAAGTGCTCTCTGATCATTACCTAGGCTTAAATTGGTCACGAAGCCCCGCCTTTGCCGATGCCAACCCAGTTGAATCAAATGGTACGTGCGTTGGGTTGTTGGCATTGAAGGAGAAGGGCTGGCTCGAATTCAGTGCAGAGCGTACCATTTTGCGCTACGAATTTGAGTTTAAAAACCACTGTAATTCGTCTGCAGACACTTACTGTGATGCCTTTGGCAAATGTGACTCAAGGAAAAATTTTTGGCAGAACCACTTGCTTGTTGAGATTTGGTTTTCTCCGCAAAAAAAAATTCATGTACAGAGGTGAAGCGAAATTACAAGTAAACAAAACAGACATTTTTTACAACGGGAACAGCGTATGAAGAAAACCTCCGCGCAATTCTCATGCTCGCAAGTACCCATTAACTTACTAGGGGAACAATACTGGAGTGGCGTTTCGAATGAATTCATAACTTTTCAAATGAATTCAATCAAACCGGATTCAAACCATCGACTTTCGACTTTAGTGCCAACAACTAACCATTACACCACTGCACCACCAACGCACGTAGCAGCGTCCTCAGAAAAGAAAAGCAGATTTCAAAACAGCGTTCGAAGCTGCTTCAGAAAGTATGCATCTCATATCAAAAGGCCACGGCCATTGAAAGTACTTCCCTTGTAAGTGGTTCAATATTTGCAAAATGCCACTCAAAGTTCAGCAAAATACATCGAAAATACATTAAAATACATGCTATTGAACAGTGTGCGCGTACTTATGAAAACCCTTGTATACTGACACCAATAATCTTAAGCACAGCATAGATTTCAAATCAAGAGGATTAGAAAATCCAAGAAAAAACATACCTATAGATCCGTGTTTCCTGCACATGTCAGCAAAATGCACTCCTTTTAGACTAGTTACAATTAAAATAATATGCAACGCGCTTGAGATTATCAGCCTACGATATGACGATGAGCTTTCAAATCTCGAAAAGCGACTATAAATTTAGCGGTTTCCAGTGTTTTTGCCCATCCAAAGCACATTTCAACATATATTCTTTGCTTCAACCAGATCGGCTGCTGGAAGGCGGGGCCTCATGACCTAGGAGGCGACTGCTCGCGTCCACAACACAGTCTGCGACTTCCGCGCGAACATACTCTCTGATCATTTTCTAGCCGTAATTAGGTCACGGAGCCCCGCCTTCCAGCCGCCACCTGATTGAAGCAAAGGATACGTCTAGTGTAATGAGTTGAGAGCAGCTTGTTGCAGGTGGCCAACCTCACTTCAGTAATCTTTGTCGTGGTATTATTTCTCATCTCTGGCTTCTGTTATATATCTGTGCTTATTTGTGTAGTACGCAGTCGGACATCACACAGGTAAAGTTTGAGAAAAAGACTTTCACTTAACATCCTCCCTGAACAAGATACAAAATTGTAGGCCAAAAATCCGTATATTATGTACAAGAAATGTGCCTACTGTTTGATTTTCATAACTTTTTCGTCGTGAAATTCTCAAAAGGTTAGTTAACATTTTGTAGGGCTAACTTCGATTCAAATTTACAGCATAAAGAGGATTACTGATCCTTCTTTGCTGTAAAATTACGGTAGAAGCTCGCAGCATATGGCGCCACCGTGAGATGGGCCGTTCGAGAAAAAAATTTCGAAAAAACCTGAACATTTGTGTAACAAGGTTTTCATGCATGGTGATTTCGCACATATTTCTTGCGCGATCGCAGAGATTTACAATGGCGCAATTAGAACGAATAAAAGGAATCGTTGTTACGGAATATCCGGATTATCAATATCTGACCCAACTTATGAGAAAAGCGTACTTAATGTGCAAGTTCAATATTTTCAGCTTTTTCAGTCCTTTTCAGGGGCAAAATGTGATCCTCAGTGATACAAAACCCTCCTCAAAGTTCCTAGTGTAATCCTACAGTAGTGAAGAGAGGGTGGTAATTCGCTCTATACCGTGAATCTAATTGTAAGTTGAAGTCAGCTCTACAAAATGGTACCTAAAGCATCTTGAAAGACTTAGGACAAGAAAGTTGTTGATAATCAATCACTAGGCACATTTTTTGGAACACCCTGCATATCTGTAAGATCACACTTATAACGACAATAAGCATTTTATGCGTTTCCGGTGACAATGCAAAACTTTTGCCTGAAGTTGCGTCATTCGTCGTTATGTTGCGTTACCGTATCAAGCAATTTTCCTCTAGCTGCTTCGATAATTTTCGCTTAGAGCAAAATACATTTTGATTTAGTTCAAGACAACAAGAGATTCGGATATGCATCCAGTTGGCAGGGCTGATGGTTGCCTTCGTATTAGTATTTATCTACAGCGTTGTTCAATATGCTTTAAATAAGGCACACCAGGTCAGTATGAGTGTTATCGTTATGATATGTGGTGAGAAATTAAGTTCTTATCAAGCTCTGCACTGAAGTCGCACGTGTAAGTCGTATTTCTGCCGCAGAGCTTTACTGTATTTGGAGCGCCATCATTGCGGAAATGCAAAAGCATATCCGTCTGCAATGCAGTGCCATAACCGCTAAGGTGGGCAGGTGGCATTTTATGGCTATAACCTTTTTAAGCATGTATGCATGAATACCGAATTAACTTAATGCTGTAAGTACAAGTGTAATAACTCGCTTCAAAATAACGCGCCGCGAAACTATTTAGAATCAGCGTTTTAAGCCAATTTCAAGTTTGATGTCGCCTTCCAAAAGGCCGTGCTAACTTATTTGACTTCTCTTGTCAGTAAAAAGCTGCCAATGCGTTTTTATCCAAAATTTCCGCTTAGAATAAAAAGCCAACAACGCTGACAAGACCTCGGAAGCAAAACGAGGTGTTGTAGCGTAGCGAAGCAACTGTGCTAAAAACTCAAAACCCATAAAAACTCGATCGTTTGTTAACGTGCACAGTTCTTCGGCCGACAGTTTTTTCAAAGTCGTTTATTTTCTCTCTTCGAAGTTGATGAAAACATTCCAATGTTGTGCTGATTATCTAACCCAACAGTGCAACAGCATGTTGCTGAAAAACCAATGATGTTTTGGAATCATGAAATTTGCGATGAACTACAAGTGAAAAATTCGATATCTCGAAAACTCATTTGTTCGTATCAAATACATGCTTGGCATTGCTGGGTTAGATAATCAGTAGAAGCTTGGCACGTTTTTATTGACTTTGAAAAAAGAAAAATGATTCTGATATAAAGATCTTCGGCCGCCGGAGCTGGAAAATGCGGCTTGTACAGCTTCTCGCTCCTGCTCAATATGTTCATAGTGAAGGATACGATAATGCTTACGGATGTAGGTAGACAGCGTGAAATCCAGATATCTGGAGGTTCAGGATATGAAGTTTTTTTCTAAACTGCGATCTCCTTCCTGGCGGGGATGTTATGTATGCGGCCCTTGAAAAATGGAGAAATTTTTTGGTTGTAACTGCCCTCATGGAAGCTGCCAAATCGTGACTATTTTAAGATGGAATCTGAGTCTAAATGTATTCTCGTCGAAAAATTCCGCCGCTAAGATGCTTGTCTCTCCATGGCTAAGCATCCTAAATAAACTTGGTTAGTAGAACCATTGCAAGACCTGCTGAGCAGAGTTGAGGAATTGGTAATGAAAATAATGTATCTTCTCTGAGAAAAATGTGGTTTTTATTTGTTTTGTAAGCTGGTTTCATACTCCGCTAAGTATCAAAAATGTTCTTTTGGAAAGATTCTGGGGCAAAAAGACTTCAAACCCACAGAGTGATCCATTGCAGAAGAGTCTAGTTTACGCATGGAGACAAGCACATCCAGTGATGAACAGCTTTTTATCAAGCATACAGCCTTGGATGTGTTTACTTTTCAACAGGGACATACAAGTTAGATTAAAACGAATAGTCACATGCGGAAAAGCAAAGGTGGGAACATCATAGGAATATATGGATTACTTGTGAATCAAAATAAATGCTCCCTTTGCAGCACCTGCCCGCAATTTCGGCATCTGCAGTTTCAACGTCGAGAAGACAACAGATATCATCATTCAGTAAAAGTGGTGCATCGAGCTCGAGTGGGTGGATGCATTCATTCAAATATGGCATTCAGCATTAGAGATCTGCATGGAAAGCATTTTAGCGTAGTCACCACTTCCACTTTATTGTATTAGGTTGATGCATAATTCCTGCACCAAAATAGGTACAGACCGCAATAACTCGAAGTAATCCTATATCCCAAGTAGACTTCGATATATCATTTGATAGCGCAAACCTAGCTCTACAAGATGGTGCTCAAATATCTACACCAGCTTTGATCCACGCGAAGTTTTGAGCCAAAAACTGAAAAAAAACCATGCGTCCGAAAACCTTAAAACAGATCTTAAAAAAATTGTAACTTCGTTCAAAAAGCTCATACAAATTTTCTTTCTTGCTCACGCGTAGACGTTCCACGTAAGACATTTATCTATGCGGTTGCTGTATTTTTTTTTCAACTAGGCGATGAAAAAACGAAGTTTTTTGAAGTTTTTCATGTTTTTGCCAAATTAGTGCTGAGATGTTCTAGTATCAACAGTTGTATAGTGCATGCTGTTAGCAGTGAAACTTTACATTTTCAGCCTTCTAGAACTGCTAGTTCGCGAGAAATAACGAATCTAGCTCTCCTTATCCAAATTTTTCTTGCGTAGTTGCTAAAAATCCGATATTTCTCGTAAATCAGCTGCTCTAAAGAGCTGAAAATTCACATTCACGCTTCTAAGGTCCTATAGTATACAACTATCAGTGCTACAACATCTCAGCATTGTTTTGGAAAAAACATGAAAAACTTCGTTTTCTCATCGGCTAGTTGAGAAAAAAATACAGCAACCGTATAGATAAATGTCTTACGTGGAACGTCTACGCGTGAGCAAGAAAAAAAATTTGTGTGAGCTTTTTGAACGAAGTTACAATTTTTTTAAGATCTGTCTTAAGGTTTTCGGACGCATGGTTTTTTTCAGTTTTTGGCTCAAAACTTCGCGTGGATTAAAGCTGGTGTAGATATTTGAGCACCATCTTGTAGAGCTAGGTTTGCGCTATCAAATGATATATCGAATCCTGCTTGGGATATAGAATTACTTCGAGTTATTGCGGTCTGTACCTATTTTGGTGCAGGAATTATGCATCAACCTAATAGTTCCATCCGTGTACTACACTTTCTACTAGCTCCGGTCGCGTCAGTTGACTTCATTTAAGGACTGTGCAGTTGCAACTGTAAATGTTCGAATCGTATAAAGTCTTTCCCTTACGTTGTACACTGTTTTATATATTATAAGTTAAAAGAATGCTGTACTGGCCGGTAAAGAGGTGAAAGCGCTTTCAATTAGGCTGCCTTCATACTGATCCAGAAGTTCAGAAACAGTTTCAGCACAGCCCTGGAACTGTCCCCGAATATCCGGTTCAGTATAAACGCAACCTTAAAGAGATGCTGAAAGCGTCTGAATTGGCGCTTCTCTGCGTGATGTGACCGCCCATACTCGGTTAGTAGACAATAGGAATTTTTCAAAATATTGATGAACAGCGCTGAGAAAGTCTGCAAAGAATTATGTCTTATCGTACCTAAGCTTTGAATTCAATGAAAAAATCTCTCAGTAAATATCGCTCATTCTATGCCACGACCAATATTTAAAGCAACATTTTACTGTGCTATTGGTTTTTGACACACCTAACTGAAGAAAGTTAAATTTAATATATCTTGCAAACTAGCTCTTGTAGGAAGCTGAAAATGTACGCTTGTATTAGGCTGCTGCATAAGCTCTGTCCGATTTGAATTTTTTGACTTCAAAATGTCATAACTTCTTTGTCAACTTTTTTCCGAGATCTTAGTTTAATGCGTTGGGCAGTTCCTTGGCTATCAGACACATATTGGGACTTGCGAAAATCCTTGTTAAGAAAAAAGCAAGAACTCATAAACTTCACAGCGTTTTTCTTTTTTGACATGGCAATGCTCCCTTATGAGAATTGATAGACATCTTGTCTAATAATAGAAGAAAGAGATCAAAATCCAGATGTTTGCCGACGATATCAAAGTCTATTTTTGCTATGAGAACAACAAACAAGATGAAGCATTTAGAGCCACTATGTCGTCGATCCAAAATATGATTTCCTGGTGTAATAATTGGAACCTCTCTGTAAATGCTCTAAAACCAAAATGATGCGCCTTGGAAACTCTCGGTGTCCAAATTATGTTTATAATGGCATCCCACTTGAACACTGTTCCGTCACCAAAGATCTTGGTGTTCTATTAGATGACCAGCTCAAATTTTCTCAACAGTGGTGCAGTTGTTAAAAAAGCCTTGTCCTGCCTTTTCCTCATCTTACGCAATATTCATTACAATAACCCGTTGTTATTAGTCAAACTCTAAAAAACTTATGTACTGCCACATTTAGAATATGCCACACCAATGGAACCCGTTTTTGAAAAAAGACATTGAATTACTCGAAAAACTGCAGAAAAGTTTTACCCGAATGGTTTTTACAAGTGCTTTCCAAACCCAGGTTATCCTTAAGCTTTACCGCCGTATAGTTCAAGATTAAACGCTCTAAATTTGCACAGCTTGAAATATAGACAAGTTTTCAATGATCTGATTCTTTGATTCAGTTTGATCTGCTTAGAAACTAGGTTAAGGCCGAGCAAGTACTGGATTTTTCGGCCACATGGAACACGTACAGGTGGGTTTAGTATGTGCTACCGGAAGCTGAAACCCAGGATTTTTTCGACTGCGTTCAATTCTTTTATGTGCCGAACACCAACTCAGATAACCGCCGGGGGCAGGCGGCCATGCGAATTTTGAGCAAGCGCGCACCGGAAAAATAGTTCGTTGATTTTTTGCGGCCCGCTTGCAGAAATTTGGAAGAAAGTTGGCAAAATTAAAGACGAATGCTTGAAGAACAATCGCGGTTTCTTTATGGATTAGCTGCGGCGCAGTGGCCGCATTCTCGCGGACTTTCCGCGAGAATATGCAAAAATTTCGAGGGCCGCACGTTCCTTTGTGGAGGACCGCGCAACCCCCAGATACTTTCCGCTGAGAGAAGGTACCTCAAACTTGAGTAATTAAACCAACGGTGACACCTCTGCCACACAGAGTCTTACCTGCGCTCGACGTACGCCCGAAAATACCTAACAAGAGTCCGAGCGCTTGCTGAAAGTTTGGCCAGCGCTCGCTGGAAGATATTATTTGACGAGCGCTCGCAGAAAATTCTGTATTGCTGCCCGCTGGCAGAACGCGGAAGTACCGCCCGCTGAAGGTTTGGCCACGCCTCAAAATTCTGCTGACCGCCTGCAGAAAAGCGCGAGTTTGCGGACCGCCTGCCCCCGGCGATTATCTGAGAAGATGGCTCAACCTTTTTTCGCAAAAGATTGGCCCAAACTGATGTTCTGAGAACCTTGGGTATTCCAGATCTAGAACCAGTCAGCAGTTACCCAGCGTCAGCATGGAACTACCAACTATATTTCAATGTTCTATCTATGTCGTTCTAGTTTTGATTATAATTTTCCGCAGTTTATCTTGTAGACCAGTTCGTTATTCCTTGTGCTGCTTATTTTGTGTCGGAAGAGTTTCATTCAACTTAACTTGGTCACTCTGCTCTTTTCCGCTTCTCTTCAATGGGAATAGTTCGAGAAAATCGCGGTTTGGTGAACTTTTGGCCTTGAAGTCCTCCTGACTCGTTCGCCCAGGGTCCCTGGCGGCGGAGTGTCGGCTTGGGTTTAAATGATTATTCAAGCCCTGGCACGCTTCTCTATAAGCTTCCGGGCTGGGATCGAGATTTCGGTCAAGAATCTCACCTCCCATAATAGGAGAACGACCTGACAACCCAGAGGAGAAAGCAGATTCATCAACCCACTGAGTAAATTATGCCTATACCAAGTGCTGTATCTATATTACTCTACTACCCCTTCTATTTCTGTGCTTGGTTCCTGTTTTTTCATGGTGCACCTTCAGGTGTATTAAACAAATAATTAAATAAATAAAACATTTGTACAAAAAATTAATGCTCGACAATAAATTTTACTGGCGAGACGTTTTCTTCATGAAACTGAGCTTCTGCATATACTAGGCTTCTACACCCTTGTTTCGCAACCTATGAAAGAACTTGACTTAAAGGGCGCATTGTGGAAATTTTCTTGCAAGAACATGTTTCTGGGTTGAAAACGTACCTCGGCTACCTTGGAGATTTTTGGTCTAAAATTCCTCAAAGATATTTATTGAAATTTTGTATGCGTCAGAAAGAGCAAGAAGAGCATTTTCTAATGACTAACAACATCGCATTAGAGATGCGGAATTTTCTTAGAACAGCTGCTCTAAACATAAGGCAAAAAATCGGACAGAACTTATGCAGCAGCCTAATACTTCACAAAGGCTCGTAGTATACGCTAGCGTAAGAACAGCACAACATCACTTGGGGAAATACCTGGAAGTTTCTTTACTCAATTTTCAACCAAGGAAAAAATACATGATATCGTGATGCCTGTTTAAAAATAAGAAGTGTGTGATTTGTTGACATGAAAATTCAAAAATGAAAGATGATAATGCGGGGTGTTCAAAATAATATTACGAACGTTTGATCCCTGATAGCTTTCGGATACGAAAAGCTTTCGCCTTCTTTTAACATGTTGACGACGAGCCATTTTTTTGAGGTCTGTCCCTGTGGACGAGACGTTTCCATGCATCCCTACGCATGGCCCAAGCATGTATGAATGCATCTATGCACGAAGTACAAAATGTGCAAGCCCCGCCCCCTCTGCTCCGCCCACTCGACCAAAAACGTCGGAAATTGCCCAAATTTCAAGTATTTATGCGATTTCCGCCACTTTTGAAAAGTAGGTGGAGCTTGCCACTTAGGGGGCTGAGTTTGCCTGACCATGGGCGGGGCCTGGCTAAAAGTTGCCTGAGGTCTTTGCGTCCATCTACAGCCTCATCCATGCTTTTTATGGTCAAAAAGGGTCCTTGTGAGAGGCATAGGAGTGGGCGGCGTTTGCCAAAAGGGGGCGGGGCTAATACATGAAGTACATCTGAGCCTATGTTGATTATATGAACAAAAACTGAGAGGATTGGACAGATAGTATTGAATTTAAAGGCAGCG